CCATCTGCCAGCAGCCATCCCACGCCTGACCTCTGACCCACACCAATGAAGCAGGTAACAGTGCTGAGATTGGATCACTGATGGCAGTGCAGAATATGTAGAGGTCAGGCAGCTGTTGCTGTGTCGGTGTCATGTCGCCCCTGTGATAATGGAGCAACCTTCTGGCTTCATGCTGTGAAAGCAGCTTGGAAGTGGTTCATGTTTGTGTTTGTGAGTCTGAGGTCACATCGGTCTGGGCAATCAACGTGTTTTGGTTGTCCTTGTTACATAGCAACGCTCTTTCACGTTGCAGTCATTTATTTCTTCCTCCTAGGCCATTATAGAGCCCTATTTTACTGCTCCTTCTCAGCACTGCAGGGATACTGTCTCAGGCAATGTCTGCCCCCCTGACTGAAGCCCACTGGACCAAGCTCTTTTATCTGTGTGATAGAGGTGTGTGTCTGCCTGCCCTCCTTTCTCTCTGTCTGAGTTCGTGCAATGCAAGCTTCTTTGTTTGTGTCTGTCCCAAGTGATTGTGCCCATAGATCAAAGATGTGTTGCTTATTTTCCATCTCTTGTGTTTGCAAAGATATAACCTTCCTACATCCGTTTTTTTTTTGCCAATTCTGGGATATGATTAACAATTCTTAACTTGTCTATTCATCCTGCAGTGATCAGTAATTAATCATTTATGTTATAAGCGAAGGCAAAATTCCAATGACTCTGTCACAGAGCAATGGCTGTAATACAGACAAAATTATTATAAAGCTGGCATTGTTAACAGATTTATGGGTCTTCTGAGCAAATTAGCATCAATAACTGTAAACACTAGGCTCTGTGTTTGTGTGAGAATGTGGATTCTTATCTTAATTAGGAATTCCTAAAAGGCTGGCATCCTTTCTAAAAACCTAACCCCGAAGCTCAATTTAATAAAACATAACGTACTTCCCGCAATACCTCCAGACCTTCTATTATCTGTTAGAGTCAGGCCCTGACCTATTCGGTCCTTTAAATACAGACAATCCCTTCTGTAAACTAAAAATGTTAGCCATAAAACAACCAAAACTGCAGTGACCAAGCAGGTTTAAACATTGTTTGATAAAACACAACCCCCGCCTCAAAAATAACAAACAAAAACAAAAAAACCCCAAAGAAATTATTGATTTATATCATGATGCATTATCTATAAAAGATAAAGAAAGCTGAGATTCGGAAGGTGAAATTGTCCTAATATCATTGTGTGGACCTTGTATTTTTTGTGTACCCCTGTAATTCGGCCCCCCTCTTACATGAACAGATCTGTGATAGACTTGTTATATTGATCCAAGAGACTTGTGGTATTTTAGAAAATAATTCTACAAAACTGGTAGTTTGAAATAAGGTGAAACTGAAACATTTTCATATTGATCCAAAAAATGTGGTTCGTTTTCAAAAGAACTCATTGGTTATTTTAAAAAAAGCCTCTTTGTTTGCCGCTTGTACCCTTGTAAATTAAAAATTAAAATGTTCTATTCAGAATTTCTAGTTTGCAAGCAGAACATTTTGAACATTTTTAAAATTATGGTTCATTCAGAGATCTAACTTTAACAAATGACTTTATTAGCCACCAATGAGACCTTATCAAACTGAAGAGGTTGATAGCTACCACCTGATATCTCTGTGTGTATTAAATTGTACAGTTGCCTCCTCAGGGAACTTTGACCTGCAGGATGACAGTGTTTTAGCCCCTAATCATTAATCAACATCTTACATTGCGCCACTCAGGATAACCTCACTGTCTCTTTAGAGTAGGCTAATAGGCGACTTCCCTTCTTAAATCAGAATAATCCCCTGACTTACACCCCAATGAGCTCTTCTGCATTCATCTGCCTCTAAAGGCATTTGGAGATGCCGGTTAAAGACTAATTGGCTGCCTGTCTCCAAAGCACAACAACTAAAGAAGAGTTAGTGTGATAGGGAGACTGGGAGTGAAGAAGAGGACAAAGGGAAAAGTGAATGATGCACTCTAATTGTTGAATCTTGCAGATCATGCATATGTGTTTACACAAGTGGAAAGCTGGGATTAGTTTTACAGTTGTTGCTTTGTGACATCCTTCCTCTGCTGTTGTTCTCCATCCTCAGCTTCACCTCTCCCTCTCATCTGTGCATCCCCTCAACAACCTCTATCTACTTATCTTTCCTAAAGTCCTCCTCCCACTCACCCCTCCATCTCCCTCTGCTTACAATTACTCTGAAAGGCAAACGAGTGAGCGTAATGCCTCATTTAATCCTGAAGCTGTTAGTTTAAATAGCCTTATTAGGGGTTTAGCTCCTGTTTGTTCTTTAATTTAATCTGATCTGAATTGTCTCTTCTGTTCTTATAGAAGAATCTAACATTTCCCCCTTGCTTTCTCCTTCTCCGTCACCCCCTGAGTGACAAAATATAAACAGTAATTACTGTGGCAGCCATTACCCACTCGATGAAAGAAAATGAGAGATAATCACCCCTCTCCACCTTCTTCCCACCCTCCATGCTCACTCATCATCTTCATCTCTTCTCTCTCACCTTCTCTCTGTCAAGGTCACCTTTCTTGGATGCTGTGCCTCTGCCAAAAATCAGTGGTAGTTTAAGCCAAAAATCTCCACTCAGCCTGCGTAGCTGTCAAACAGTCCCCTCCCAACCCTCCATGGGTCTATTATTGCCATTTTCTTTTGTCTCACATGCGCACGTCTTAATCATGGTGTGCCATAACAGCTCTTTGTGTGTGATACTGAGCAGTGTAAACAATCAGCAGGCTTGCTCCATGTGGTGCCGCAGGAAAGGATAGCCGGCTTGCAGCAGTGGGCACCGGCTCCAACCATACAGATGGAATAGGGATAGACTCCAAGCGGGGCGGCGAGCCTCACTCCCCACCAGTGAAAGCATCTTTAGCACTATCTGTTTAGAGGCGCCACTTATAGGCATGTCATTTTATTTGTGTATGACCAGAGATGCAGGATGTGGAATATCAGATTTGGTGGTTTTTTTTTCTCTGCTTGTTTTGGCATTCGCACCATCTGCGTTTCTGGGTGACCTGTTTATATGGGGCAGTGGCCATGTAATGAGGAAATTAATGGAAGATGTTTTTCATGTGTGAGAACATGGGACAGTTTTTAGAACGTCCATTGCCAGGATGATTATCGAGATTTGCCAGTTTATCGATTTTTGAAGTAAAGTTCTCTAAATGAGTCGAAAGATGTAAATATACCACCCTCAGTGGGCAACTCTCTGGACAGCTAACAGTTAGTTCTAGAAAGGCCAAAGTTGATCAATGCTTAATACTATTTAATGAAAATTTCAACACATTTGCATTTTATTTTATTTGGCTTCCAATTTTCTCAAATACTGCATGAACAGCCAGTTTTAAAACATTTTTGGTCTTTGGTATTTTATTAACAGTATACAGTACTACTAAAAGTATAATTTATAATAATATCTTTTTGGTCATAACCTGTCCCTATAGGAAAAAAAAGTTACTTACATATTTAATATGTAATACCAGACCTCTGTCTCAATCAATAATCCAAATAATCAGAACCCAACAACATAATTTACTATTAGATCTCACAAAGCATCATTAATGCCCTGATCTAAAGAAGTTTTAGAATGCACTGGAACAAAGTTGCAGACAGAAATTAAATTAACCCCAGATGGACTCCAGTGATCCTCAGTGAGAACCTTGATTCTCAAATTAAGGTTTTTCAGTTAGGGTCAAAATGGTTCAATTTTTTTTACCATAACGAATGAGATTCTCATTTATTCTTTATCTGAAACCTTTAAATGAGACAAAAAACGTTTTTATATGGTCATCTAATTTTTCAGAACACAGTTGGTAGTATTTTATATAAAATATGCATAAGTTTTTTCCCCCCTTTCCCCGATGAGTTAAATGATCTTCAAGCATTAAGTGTAAGAGTATACGTCAATGAAAAATAAACCTAAAATAATCCAAATCTACAAACCACATGGAAAAAACTAAGCATGTAAAACTATTCATCGTCTTGAGCTTATTCTGGACTCCAGCTGGAGAAGCTGTCCAAACAGCTACTCTAACTCCTCTGTGGGAAGCTTGAGGGTTTCAGGATCAGCTGAGAGACATCGTCCCTCCAGAGTATCTGGTGCCATTCCCAGGGCCTTTTCCAATGGATGTCTGACCCACCTCACACTGCAAATGTAAATCTAATTAAGTCATTGTTTTCATAAAATAAGTGCCTTTTTCTTGAATTGAGAGGGTAAGTGAGACATTTTGCCAATTTACACTTAAAATAAGAAAAAAGAACTGCATTGTCATATTTCAAGTGCATATTATCTAATTAAATTATTCTAAGAGTAAAAATACTCATTCCATTGCCAAATGATCTTATTTCCCTGCTTTAAATTAAGAGTAAATTAACTTAATTTAAGACATTTTCACTTATTTCTAGATCATTTTTGCAGTGCAGGTGTGTGCTCTTGATGTGAAGCTTATTTCAGCCGCTTGTTTTTGGGATTTCCTTCAGATGGTTGCAGCGTCCACAGGAGCTGCATGGTCCATCGATCTCCTGCTCCATTCTCCTCTAACTTGTAAACAGAACCAAAAACCTCTATTTGTGATGCCAGTATTTATTAGCCTGTGTGTAAATAACCACCTATTACAAACATCTGAAGGTGCTTGGGTAAACTACTTAATTTTTTTTTTTAAACTGGAGTGTTTTTAGTGCATTGGTTTTTGTCAGCTATCAGACTGATTGTTAACTCTCGCCTCTGCAGTTAGCTTCCTTTCATACTCTATGAAGATACCGAGATAGTGTAAATTCGGGGAATATGAAAAATGGTTTTATAGCATTTTAGTAGAATCTTGTTTCAGAGATAATAGCTGTCTCTTCAGCTTTCTGTCTCGGTCTTACCACATGTTAAAGGGTAATTTTCTCTCATTCTAACACATGGTCTCCTCTCTGCCCCTCCCTTATTTCTCTTACCCTCCTCCCCAACCCCCACCTCTCCTTTCCATTTCATCTTATAGTTTCCTGAGAAAGGGCGTGGCACTGATTTAAAGGCCAAAAGAAGAGACAGAAGACCAGCAGGACCGGAGACATATGAACCTTGCATGTGAAGCACATCCTGACACCTGCTCACCTTCTGTGTGCGTGTGCTAGCCTCTGTGTGTATTGTACTGTGAGTCTTTGAGCAGGTGGGAATTTGATGGCACTGTGAGCAATGCCTCTCATGCAGCGACAGCAGGTTTACAGTAGGGGGCACAACTCCTTCCACCTCCTCCCCCTTGTACTAGCTCTCCTTTTCCTCGGAGTCCTGCCCAGCCAGGCAGCCATCGAAATGCCCTCCAACTGTGAGTACTGATTAATGTCCTAACATGCAACAATAGCTGAATGCTGCAATGAGATACAAAATATCTATATTTTGTGTTAATTATTGACTATAGATTTATCAGCACACACCATAATGATTGTCAATCATGATAAATTAATGAAACTGAACTATGGTAACATGTTTTCTCCTTATTAACCAAAATGTTTAACAAAAGAAAGCTCTTTTATACTCTGAATACTACTTTCAGAGATATCCGTGCCTAGTGCTCATTTGGAGGCAGTGGTGTATCTAATTACTCTGTAACTGATCCCTTCATACTGCATTGATTAGTCCATCTATTGATCTAGTTTCCTCGGTGAAACCAGATTGAAGGGAATTAAATCAACAATTTGGTTACACAACAGACATTCTGTGAGCATTTTTCATCCCTAGTCTTATTTCTTCCACCTCCTCGATGCAATATGTGAGCATTAAAAATACAGCTGAGCTTGAGGCCCGCAGGGAAATTGATCTTCATCTACTCTGCCGCCACCACTGCTGCTGCTTCTGGTTGGCCAAAAGATTATTGTTTCCTCTACTGTTCTTCATTTTTTTTTTACTCTTTGTCACAATCCTTCACCACCTACACAAACTTAAAAAAAAAAGTAAGAGCACAAACAGCAGCACAAGCCCTCTTCTTAGCCCACGCACCCTTCAAAAATATGATGAAAGGCGGTGATTTTTGCCATCTAACTCCCAAAGGGCCAAGGTGACACAGAGGTGAGAAGGCCAAGGAGGATGGAGGGATGATGATGATGCTAAGGAGAAAGGGGGATGGGGGGGAAAGGTCAAACCTTGAAATGGGAAAGGTCAAGGTGTTCTCTGCCTTTCAATTAAAGAGGCTCTAACATGTCGATTAGAGTTACTGAGACACCAATCATAATCAATAAAAGAGATTAATGAAATGTTTGTTAAGGGTCCTACCTAACCAACCAACCAACCAACACAAAGTAGTGCAAAGTTGTAAAAATATATATTGGTTTGAAATGTTATTTCTACATCCCTGAACAAATACATGTAAACAAAAAACAAGAAAATACCTTTTAACTTCAATAATAGTTGCAAGAATTTCGGGCAGTAAGCAAATATTTGGAAAGTTGTTCTTTGCTAGCCTAGCCAGCTAGATGAACCATAATGATCTACTTTTTCAGTGCTTCTGGGGCTTTTCCAAATGTTGATGGTCTCCCTAAGCCAAATCAAAAGTTGTGCATAGAGAACAATTTAGCAGCATGCTGTAATACTACATTTCATGCTTTTATTGTGAAGTGCTGGCAGTGAGACTTTGACACGATATGCTATGGGGTTGCCAGGGGTAATGGCAGGTCCAAATTGAAGAATCTAGTAGGCTGATAAGGTACTGCATATTGTGGCACAATAATTATACCCTCTAAATAAGGTAAACATACCCAGTGTTATATTCAATGCCAGCACAGGAATGCCATATCATATTAGGCAATAACTTGATATACTGAAACAGCTGCTCTAACATCTGCTGGGATGGCGACATCATCAGCCAAATTAAAATTATTCTATCTTAAAAATCAGATCAGAACAAACAGCAGTTTTACCTGCATAAATCAAGTAGCACTGAAAAAGTAGATCATTTTTATTCAATTCGGAGCTTAATGGGAGGATGCTGGACCTTAAAAATTAACCTTTGATATATCTATGTAAACACTGTGCATCTGAAATGCAGACCGTTGAACTGCTTGCAGGGTTGGCGGAAATCACCGCGGACACTGCGTTCAGTCTGAATACACCATTAGATGTGGCTGCATAGACAGTGTAGGAACTCTGGGATTCTGCTGTATCTCTGAATACTAGAGATAATGATATATATATATATATATATATATATTTTTTTTCTTCAAATACCTCATCGTTAGTCCTATTGATTGACAGCCATTGCCAGTACAGGTTATCAAATCTTCACAATTAGATTTAGCACTAGGTTATCATGCTAACGATAAATTCATAGTTGTTCTTCTGGAAGGAAAATCTCCTGGGCTGCCCTGTTTTAGCCCAAAACATCCTCCCATAATCTTTAAACAACTTCGGTGTCCCTGCTAAAAAAAAGGATCTCCCCATAGCGTGATACTCTGGCCACTATTTTCCATGATGTGGATGGTGTTCAAAATAATGGGCCTGGTTTGTTTACAACTGAACATAAAGCCTGATCTACCAAGATCCCAAAAAGGAGTGATAAATTGCATATACAAGCAAAGAAAAAAAATTGCTGTTGCAATAAGTGGTTGAGTTGCAGATGATAAAAATAAGATTCACAATTAGTTATGGGTGCAACCGTGGTGTCGATCACTCTATTAAAAGGAGGATTTTGCTTCTGCAAATGGCTTTCACCATGGATATTTTATGAGAAATAAGTCCGTTTTTTATTTGCGCATCAAAAAAGCAGCCACTCGGTGTGCAAGCGAACTGCTAACGGATTGCAGTTATAATTACAGACAGTGGAGGAAAAAAAGACCTCTGCTGAGTTGAACAAACAAACAAAAATTCAGGACCAAATCACCTTACCAGGGAGGAAAAAATCAATTTTTTTTCATCAAATGGAGAATTTGTGTTTGTGTTTCTATTCTTTTATCAAAGATGATATTTCAGGGTTAAGTTTATTAAAGATGGAAAAAAAAAAAGGTAGTCCAGCCCTCCAAAACAGATTTGTTTTGAGAAAACATGGTAAAATAGAAGACAAAACTTGTACTAGTCTTCCACTTTATCTTCAAAGGCGTTCAGGGAGCATCTGAAACAGATGTCAGAGCTACCTCAGCTGACTCATCTTGAAGGAACAGCTGTTCTACTTTGAGCCCTTCACCCTATCTCTGGCTGGGCTCTTCACCCTTTCCTATCACTTAGGAAGTGTCCAGCCACCATGCAGAAGAAATTCATTTTTGCATTATAATTCTTAATGCATGAGAGATAGGTGAAGGTATCTGCTGCAGACTGTAAGTTTTTCAGAACCACCCATGTGTGGACAGCGGCAATACCATGACAGCAAAAAAGGAGAAATGATTTATTACATAATATGATATAATAATACATTTTAGCACTAATAAACACAAAGAGCACACTTGTTTGATAAGAGTACTGTTAAATTTATGAGTGCTACAGTTTGTTACATATATAAAGATACACCCGTTTCAAACTACTTTTTACTTGATCATGATTTTTACTTGATAATTATAATTAAAGTGTAAACACCCCCATAGCTCCCCCTCCTCAGGAATGGTTTCTACTTGTGACTACCTTCAGGCCAGCCTTAGTTAATCCAGCAGCTCAAAAAAAACTATTTTTCATTAGATTTTTTATTTTTTATTTTTTTATCCTGACAGAATATGTTTACAGGATATGTTGACACAATGATGAAAGATATTTTCTCTCCATCATCTGTCATTGCACCTCTTCCCTCTTTACTTCTTGCTACAATTAGGTCAGAAATCTTAGATGAAACCCCATTTGCACCTGGTTAATAGACCGGCCAAAACTTGACTGTGCAAGCAAACAGTCGCATTTGGGCATTTAATAACCATTGGTCAATCAGGTCCATTGTCTTTAACATTGAGGCCAAAAGTCAAGTTTTGGTCAACTGACCAGAGCACAGCTGTGAAAGTCTGTAGTTCTTCCAGATTTATCAGCAGTCCTATCGCTAGCTCTCCCAATAATGTTGTCTTTGCCCAACCTGTATCACAGCTTTGCTATACTCTTAGTATTTTTATTGCTATGACTAAAAGTTTGCATTTCAACACTGCTTTAATTTCTCCTGGACTATAACCTGACTTAATTTCCATGGTCCTTGATCTTTATGATGCTGTTTATTCAGTGAGACCTTCAAAAAAAGAAGGCTTGGATTCATACAGACATGCTACTATTTCTCTGGCGGATTAACTGCATAACACTTTTTAGCAAGTAAAAATAAATGTATGAATGAATAAATGAATTCTTATTTCAGACAGCCCTGTAAAACAAAACATTCAGCACATACAACCATCATGTATAATAATGATAAATATTTGTATATTCTCCTTCCTATAGTCTTCAACTCCAGCCATGTACCTCATTCCTACTTTACTGCTTAGCTCAAACTATGACGCAGTCCTTTGAGTGAGGAAATAAATCAAGTCATGTACATATAAACATACATATACATGCCACTCACAATAAGATATATGACAAATATGAAATGATTGTTTGGGTGTAAATCGATATGTTTACTTGTCTGTGTGTCTGAAACATGTATCTTTTCTCATTTCCTTCCCTCTCGCTAACTTTGTGGACCAACAAATTACATAGGGGAACGTGAGTGCTTTTATCTTACTTTCTGTTATTCCTTTATTAACAAATGTTCTTCTAAAACTCATTGTAAACACTTCCATTATGCCTGAGAGGCTATTCTTCATCCTGCTGACAGTGGTGCACTAAAATGAATATAGTATTGGATCGTGCCTCAGTTGGATCAGGCTCATATGCATGTCAATGCAAGTATAGCTTTGTGAACACAAGCCACTTTTTGTTTGTGATGGTTGGGTTTTGGTCTTATTGGCTCTCAGTAGATAATGTCCCGGTAGGAACATATAGGATGAAGTTTGAGGAGCTGGCAGCACGGCTTTCAGATCAAAGACTTGAAGATATTAAGAGGAGTTAAGGCATAAGCAGCAACTTGTCTCCTTCTAGTGATGTAGTGCCTTCAGCCCTCCCTTCAATTTGATCAGCTGAGAAAATGGGATTATTTTCTGAGTGGGAATTCTTTCATTAAATTCACACACTCTTCTCATCTGTCTCTTCTTGAATTTAGCTTGTCTGATTTATTTGTTTATCTGCTCCACCATTTGTTCTTTATTTTATTTATCTTCCATTCACACTCAGCACTCCATCTTCAGTGCCTTTATCTCATCTACTGCATCCCTCTCTCCATTAACCTACTCCCTCCATTTACCTACATACGTATAATTAGAATAATCCCCAAATGTAAATGTTTTCTATTTTCCTTTAAGTTAAAAAGGGGAACAATAAACTTATCTTGAAGCAACCACTTTGGAAAAATCTAATATTTTGTGTCTTAGTTTTTTAAAAACTTCACAGAGATTCACTGATATTCATATGGCAAAAAGTCTTATAATAATTAAAAATAAATGTAATTACAGTTAAATAAATTCTAAGATTTTTTTGGAAACAAATAACTGCTAATGAAAAACAGTAACCACATACTTTACTATTCACACATAGACCTTAGAAAAAACACAAATAAAACAAAAAACTAAAAACTAAATCCAACAATCCTTATTCTACTCACAAACTAAATTGAATTTATGTTTAATAAAAGGAAATAGGTATTCAAAAGATGAATCAAACTGATAAGGGATCAAAGTTTATCAAAGGTTATCTCTTTCTCAATATCTTTCCTATCTATTTTTGAGTTCAATACCTGCTTTTGTCTTGGGTAAAAATATGTGTATTATCTGTACAGTAAACAGATATTGGCCTTCTCCTAAAAAGATAAATAAAACATTCGATTTAGGCCCCAACATTGGGCTTGGAAATTTTTCAAAGTAGAGAAACCGACTATTAATTACAAAATATTTCAGAACTATCTCCATGCATTTAGATAGAGATTGTGTTTATAGACAGAACACTGAGGAATAAAACAATCAAATATGGCATTCCTTGGCAGCCTGTGATTTAAGGGAAGGGGAGTTCTACTTATTGATCGTCCAATCAGACGAGGATTGGGTCTCGATCATCACATTATACAGCCAGTTAAAAGCCACTTTGTCTTTTTAATCATCATAATATTTTATAGCTGGACCATTTGTATTTTTTTTTTTTTAATCCAGATATTCCATTGAATAAAAGACTTGTTTTCATATACAGTTATACTCCTTCAACAACCAACATATGAATTTACCATTTATAAATGCATAATTAATTGTAAAGCTTTCTGACTCCACATTTGGCTTTAACATATCTAAGCCAAATACAGGTTTGACAGGCATTTAACATAGAAAGGCAAGTAAAACTTCTGATATAGTGCAGCCTGTTACTAGATAATAACAGTAGTTATAAGGAGCCAAGGTTTAAATGGACATTTTTAAGGTACTTATAAAAATAAAACATAGTCAGAATAGGTTGAACAGTAAAATCATGCAAGGCTTGAAATTTTCTGGATAATATGAATTCCTGAAAACGTACTATTTTTTTAACATGTTGTGACCCCATTTATATTTCAAATCAAGTACATATTTTCTCTACATCCTGCATGCATTTCCAAGTGCAGCTAAATCAGATCACAAGCACACTAAACAAAAACTTTATTCAGGTTTATTTCTAGGCTTTTATCTAGCTAACAGATTCTAATGAACATGTTAATCTTGTTCCTTCTCCCCACAGACTCCCATATTCTCACAGGAAACATGGAGCCATATCTTTTTTCTACATTAACTATCCTCCAACATTGTCTCAATTTCCTCACATTGAAAACACATTCTCTGTCCTTTCTCTTCATCCTACTATTTTTCTTGACCTATATTTCATTTCTTTTTCTGCAGAGCCTAGTCAAGTGATATTGACTAAGTATACTTCTCTATCTCTGGTCTATCTTGGCTGTTTGTAAGCCTTTGAACAGATAGTGCAGATGTTTTGTGACACAGTCTTCAGGTTTGCAGTCGGTGCACACACCAGAACTAGAATTACAGCAGAAAGCACTGTGAAAGGACGCCATAAGAATTCAGCATTGTGTTCACATATCATTATTTCTGTGCATGTATTAACCGAATCGGTCGTTTGAATGTATTCTGTGCCTAAATGAATTCTTGTTTTGGTCCATGCAGACAAAAGGCCTCCTCAGATAACCAGGCACCCAGATTCAGTCACCATATTTAGCTTTGAGGACCTGAACATGACCTGTGAAGCATCTGGCGTCCCTCCACCCAGGTCAGTTAGCACACCCACATCCATGCAAACACATAATCACATTGGTTCTACGGCACTTTACAAAATAATTGATACCCATTGAACTTTCAAGACTTTTTGGCGTTACAAACCAGCTGCATGTGACAGACTGAAACTAAGATTTTTTAGTGAATAGAAAATGATAGATAAAAATGAAGTACTTTCTAGTACAGCTACAGTCATTTATGTGTCGCTTTAAAGTCACTGTCCTGTTGAAAGGTAAACCTTGGATT